GGGTTACAATTGAGGGCTTATAGCATCTGCATTTGCTTCAAGACCTCTGTGCCTCAGTTTTTCACGAGTCACCTGGGAACAAAATACTCATCTCAGGCATGATGCGAGCCCAGGTGATGTGCAAAAAGAGGAGCGGGAGAAGAAATGGTCATCTTTTTAGTTGCTACATGATGGTGAATGGACGCTTCAAAAGGCTACGTTAGAAATAAATTATCTGCTTGGTCTTTGCTCAGATTCAAGTCATTGGCTGAGCTCACTCCCTGCACCCCAGCTGCACAACAGCACCCAACACCCTGTCCCCCAAGTTGGTTCCCAGTTGACCAGAAAGAAACAGCACAGGCAGCCTCCATGGGGCAATCGCTTCTCTTTTCTACAGCTATGAAGAACAACTGTCCTCCCACACAAGACAGTCAAAATCACTAACCCCCATGGTGGGTACAATACAGACAGCCATATACTCAGGCAAGTGTGAGACATACCTGATGAGCTGCTCATTTGGGTATCTGGCTTCCATCAGACAGTGTTGGAATATGGTCTACTGTTTTCAGCCAACTCAGAGGCCACGTACGAGCCCTTCTGCAAGCTCTTTGGGCAGCTCACCATAGCCTCCATGAGAGAGCTTGGCTGACTCCACAGAACTTGGGGGAATTCTTCAAAGGAGCACAAGGAGCTGATCTCTCCCTCAGTGCTTCGTGTTCACTCAGGTAACCCGCTGACATTTCTGGAGCTCCTAAGAGCCACTGGTGCTGAGGGCTGTGCTGGAAACAGCGGGATACAAGGCAAAATGGCTGCAGTGGTATAGAGTGCAGCAGGATGATGGGGTAGAACCACAAACGCTCCTTAACCTGGAGAAGGAACCCAAGCTTGGACATTGAACACAACCACTGCTCAGAGCAGCAACAGCTGGCAGCAATCCAGGTCTGTAGTTCAGACAGTTTACAGCAGGGTTTGTCAACCCAGGGTACGCATACCCCCGGGGTACTTAGAAAGGTCGTAGAGGGTATGTGTGAGCAGGTAGGCAGGCAGAGACGGAGCATGCCCTGAGGTGCAGTGATGGCATCTCCCTTGGTGCCTTCCCATACTGTGCTTCTTACCCAGGGAAAGAGGGAAGGGCACACCAAGCACTGCCGGCCCCACGCAGCACACCATGGCACCTCCCTGCCCCCCACCTCAGCTCACTCTCTGTGCCTGCTCCCAGAAGCAGGGCCAGGGGGGCGAGGGCAGTGGTGCCTCTGTGGGCCACAGACGCGCTGCCCACCCAGCTGGACAGGGGAGCCATGCTCACATGCAGTGGCCACCACTATCCCACTGCAGCCACTGCCACTTCCCACACCACTTTCCTGCAGCCAGTTACACATGCGGCTCTGCAAGCTGCTGACACACCTTGCACCTTACACGCCACCTGTCAGCAGCCCACAGAGCTGCATATGCGGCCAGTTATGGGAAACCAGTGCAAAGCGCAGCAGCGGTGGCATGGGCAGCTGCTGCATGCAAGCCCTGCCCCCCCCCGGCCAGCCAGATGGTGCGCACGCAGCCTGCAAGAGGGTCACCGCTGTCCTCGCCCACCTGGCCCTGCTCCTGGGAGTGGACACAGAGAGACACTTCTCCCCTCCATTCTCGATCTGCACCCCCCTGCTACTTCCCCCTCACACACTTACCTGCTCTGTGTGTGTCCTACCCACCCAGCCACAGCAGGCATGTAGTGTTGTGCAGCTCTTGGGGCAGTGAGATGCAAAGTCCAGCATGCAGCAGCAGCTGCCTGCGTCTCACACACAGATCTGGGGGGCATGTGCCCACCAGGGTGTGCGCAGCAGTACAAGCTGCCCCCCCCCCCCTCACCTCCCAGAC